TCACGCTCGAAGCGCTCAAAACGCTGCCGTACGCTCAAAGCGCTAACGCAGAGTATGAACACTTTCCATCACGCTCATGCAGTGATGGAATGGTCGCAACAACCGTGGGTCGTTTTAGAGCCCGTGTAATCACTGGTCAGCGTGCTCTGCGAATGAATTACGCCCCATGCAAAGCCTATAATGCTGATTTTGATGGTGATGAGATGAATGGACATTTGGTGCAGAGCCATATAGCGCAGTGTGAGGTCGCGGAATTAGGTTGGCAATCTTCGTTTATACCTACAAGTTCTGAAAGCGTATCTTTATTGGTTGCAGCCAATGTTGGGAGCAATTTCCTTGTTCCCAAGGATGCCACACCCCTTCTGGGATTGATCCAGGATCATGTTGTGTCTGGTGTACTACTGACGATTAGAGGACGGTTCTTGACCAAGGTATTTTTTAGATGAATCATTATAAGTTAACGTACTTTCAACTCTTCATGAGTTCTTTAACTTGCCAGGAAGACTTCATGCACCTCGTATTGTCGGCATTTGCGGAGCACACGAAACGTATTGAAATCCCTCCACCAGCTATGATAAAACCACGCCAAATGTGGAGTGGGAAAACAGGTGACTTTTTCTAAAGCGATCAGTGATTTCTGTTGGTGTAGTAAAGATGAATTGGGATTGGTAAACATACTATGTAGGTTCACTGGATGTTTTTTAGGTCATCTCATGCATTGTCAAGAATTGCATCCCAAAGGGCAAACCGCTGATCAACCTCACCTCGAAATCAAAGACACCTTTGTCGTGCTGGAAAGTGCGAGGTTTCGACACTCCGCAGCATAATATGAGTGAATCAGAGGTGGTTTTCCGGTAAGAGATCTCAAGTTTCTATTTTTTTTCGCTTTTTTATTTTCTCACTAAAATGGTCGGGGCTATAATATTCCGGGTCGAAACCTTTCGCTCCCATTAGCTGAACGGTCGGCACATTGGATGTCTAGGCGATAACAAACCTTTGACTTCTGTCGCAACACTTTTTCATCAGTCCTTGTGCTTGGTGTGCTGATAGTGGAATAAGCCGAGCTCTCAATTTTCGGCCCCAAAGGAAGTACTTGGAACGCAGAGCAGAGCCAAGAAGCGAAGAACAGCTGATTGTGATGTGAAGGTTACAGATAACGAGTCAGTGATAGGGGACGGCTTTGAACTCGACTCTGGCTAATTTGTGTAATCAGTAGTCTGTTGGTAGATTCGATTCTTCACCTGTATCACTTAATCTTCCGTTGGTTATCGATTTTCTCTCTTCATCGGACGGTCTTCATTCCTACCCTCGACGCCCTAGGATTGCTCATGGGTATTCTCTGCAGAGGCACGATAAGCATCATACCATTCAGGCTAGGTTCCTAGAAGTTTATATTAACCTGGCCTGGATGCTATGAGTCGAAAGACTGGTGCCAATCCGTAACAACCGGGCACCCCATTTTCTTATTGAAAAAAAAATCGCACAGTTAATCTTAGTCAGTCGGGGCCGTTTGAGAAGGTGGAATGAGGCACTTGCGTCGGTTTCACCACTGATTTTTTTCTTTCTGAATCCATCATTCATCAATTACCATTGGTAAAGCAAGGCAGCCGGAGGTCGCTCATGACACCGCCCTGAGTGATCGCACCGTTATAACCTGTAGAGGTGTTAAAGAAGTCGTCTGCAGCAAAACAGGATGTTATGCGAGAGTTGGAGTGGTACTTGTTATAACCATGCTTTTCCTTTACCTTTTAGACAGTTAGCGATGCAGCAAATACAGTGCTCCGTTTTGGTTTGTTATATTCTGTTGAGGGTTCGAAGCTCAAACAGTTACTGTCTCAATGTTGCCCCTGTTGAAACCTCAGCGGTATGTGTAGGACTGTGTTTTCTCTATGTCTACCGAAAGGGATTGTTAGATAGCCGAAAGGGATTGTTAGATAGAAATCATTAGCCTCTTATAACATCTTCACGGGTCCGAGGGAGGTTGCCTAACAGACCCATCTAAGAGCTCTCCTTTCAGAGGTAAAGAAAGCAAAATCGAACAATTACTCTGTCTGCCATCATTTATTGATGTCAGCCCTCTTGCAAAAAAATTTACCGAATAAGTGCAAACTTTTTTAGGCAAGGTGAGCTGTTGGTGGGCGTTTTGGATAAGCAGCATTATGGTGCTACGCAGTACGGATTGGTTCACAGCTGCTTCGAGCTGTACGGGCATAGAGTAGGGGTCCAGATCCTGTCCTGTTTCTCTCGTCTCTTTACAACACACCTGCAGGTAAGCAGATAACCATTCTAGATTAAGTGATATTTGATGCTCAATAGTGACTTCTTGCTTGGTGCAGATTCTTTGATATTTTCCCCCAGGTTTTACGTTCCAACTGCTAAGTATAAATTCACGAAGGTCAGAAACATTACTAAAGTCTGTGGTGAAGATCAGTTCAAATTTAGCCTGGCAAATTTGACCTCTGCAGTTTTGGTCGATGAAATCGCGAGATTCGACGGTCCAATACAGTCTTTTTAGATACATGGGTTCACACTTGGTGTTGCTGATATCCTTGTCAGAAAGGATGCAGATAAACTCAGAAAACAGGCCATTAGGGAATCCAGAACGATTGGAGATCAAGTGAGTTCAATCTTATGTTCTTCCTCATGTTCGTGGATTACTTGTATTATTAGATGGTAGGAAAGTAATCGAAATTTCTAGTCACAACTAGTTCGAAAATGAGATTTTGTAATAAACAAGCTCATTCTTCATGAAACTGCACATTGTTGTCAACTTGGAACGGCTTTCCAAACGAGTCCTCCAGTCGAGGAAGCTTTCCTCACCTCTTTTTTGGTTTCTGATCCAAATTTCTTTCGAGTAGTGGGACAGGTGCTCGGGAATGAGAAACAGTAGCCCTGAGATGATTAAAGAAGTCCATAGTCCAGACTCGCTCCTTATTAATGATTTTTTTGGAAATGCTTGCGGCGATCACTTCCCTCTTACTTTTTGGGATAATCGCATCAAGAAACTGCTCAGCCATTGATTCTGGTTTCCTTGCATGTGCGGTGTGGCGCGGGGGGGTTCGTGTACTGCATAGGCGTCCACCGTTCTCAACTGAAGCACACTTGTAGTGGGCTGGTGGGTGTCGGAAGCCGGTTTCCCCATGCTCCCGCTGGCAGCATGGGCCTAGCTCATCGTATAGTCGGCTAGCCATAGCACGTGCTACGCGAAGCAATCAGGAAGCTGTGAGGCGTCGTGTGCCTTCGCCACTCTTTGTGATTGTGATTTGTCGGCGCCGGCTTCGGTGGGGGTGTGACGCTCAGACAGAATTTAGTTATCGACGCAACTCTCGCGCACCTTAGTATAGCCGCTCGCCGCGCTCGCGGAAACGGCACCAGAGTGTCACCACCCTCGCAGCCCTTTCCCTGCCACTTTCAAGTGGGAAACATGTACGCTTACCGGCACAGGCGCGCCGAACCAATGAGAGTAGCGCATGGAGGACCGTACAGTTGTGTTTCAGATTCTTTTTCCACAACGAGGATTGACTATTTGCAGTAAAGTCATAAGGAGAGAGAGAGAGAGAGAGAGAGAGAGAGAGAGAGAGAGAGGAGAGGTAAGAAAAGAGCAAGCGCAGTAAGCGACGAAACCGGCGATAGGAGGTCACACATCGAGAAACTTGAAACTTCGATTGCTTTTGTTATCGCTTTGTATTGAGGGTGGCGTGGTGTTAGTAAAGGGTTTATTCAGTTGACAATGCCATATCATGTTCTATACTAGTTGCTACCAAATATAGATGACAAAAATAGCTTACGTGAAGCCTGTCTTACACCGTTCTCATTGTTTCTTACCGTAATATCCTTTTGTGTGACATATCCCTTGAATTTAAGTTTTATAGGTTGTACGTAACGCTTTCGGTCTCGACGAAAATGTTTCACATGAAGAGATTGATCGTATTTTGGCATCGACATACTGTAATCCGAGAGGGCAAGGACAAGATGTGAAAATGCTTGATTACGCCATGAAACAAGCCATCGCGAAATATAACGATGCTATAACAAAGTACGGTTCGCTTTTATTTTTGTTCTAGCGTTGCTATGCCTGTGCAATACTTGTAACTACTTGGGTTGGCCCTACTGTATCCTATTTCGTTTTAGAGCTTGTGTTCCGGATGGTTTAATTCGGCAGTTCCCAGAAAACGCTCTACAAGTCATGATTCAATCTGGCGCCAAGGGATCGGCTGTGAATGCCATACAGGTACTTAAGTGTGTTAGTTCCAAGCATAAGGCGATGAGTTGTACCTTGTTCATTGGCGTGCGCTTCATGTTTCGTCGTCGCCGTCAGAAGAGCGTACCAACGAGGCACAATTGTAAGGCTGATTCTGCCCATTCAAACAGTCTTTTCCTTCTAAGCATGCCGAGACGAAAACACTCCAAGTAAAAGAGAACGTGGATGGTAATGAGCAGTCTAGGAAAGGCGCTGTGGTAAGCTCTGCTCCGCGCACTCCGTGAAATGTTCCTTTGAAGATAATAATGAAGGGTTTGGTCCCGTCTCACTAAGTCCTACCACCAATGACGATGGCAGTAACCGCCCGCCCCCAGTCATCGTGCCCACTACCTGTAAAGTTTCATCTTCTCTTTCATACCTCTTCCCCGTCCAGTTCATGTTTTTTTTGTTTACGGCATGCAATCGAAAGTTCGAACCACTCATCTTTCCAGATTTCTTGTTGTCTTGGCCAGATTGAGCTAGAGGGTAAACGTATGGCCGTTACAGTTGCAGGAAGAACTTTGCCATCGTTCAGGTTCTTATTTCAACTTTTTCATTCACTAGCTCTTAACCTACGGTGTCATCTATGACTATATGTTTTGCTCGCTTTCAGAGCATTCGATCCATCACCTCGTGCTGGCGGCTATATCGACCAACGTTTCCTGACAGGAATAAATCCTCAGGAGCTGTTCTTCCATACTATGGCCGGAAGAGAGGTGGAATTTTCTAACCTGGGGGCGATTTGAACTACTTGATGAACTATTCGTTAATAATGCCCATTTCTTTAATTTCATTTTAATCCTATTTTAATCCTTTTTATTTAGGGTCTAATTGATACTGCTGTTAAAACATCTCGCTCTGGATATTTACAAAGATGTCTGATCAAGCACTTGGAGGGCCTGAGGATTCATTATGACGGAACTGTCAGAGATCACGATGGCTCGGTCGTGCAGGTATTGTTTGTGAATCTTAAAGGGGGGAGGGGGGTTGGCTGGAGGCGGGCGGTTATTTCTAGGTCATTCACCAATGACGCTGGCTGGCAGTAACCGCCCGCCTTAGCCATCGTGTCTTCTTTCCTTGAAGGGCGGAGATGTCTGCTTGAGGCATTTTGTTTTGAGTTGGGCGCTTAGCTTTCTGGTTCGTTACGCTGCACTTTCTTGATTCTTTATCTAGAGGGTTTAGTTCCGGTATGGAGAAGATGGTCTCGACGTCATAAAATCAACATATATAAACCCGAAAACGTTCCCTTTCCTTAAAGACAATCTGGATGCTGTTATACAATGTTCGAAACCAGAAGAAGCTCGGGACTATGATTATAATGTCGAAGCTGCTGAAAAACAATACCGTAAGGTAACTAGAGTTTCGGTTCAAGTTTTCCGACTCTCTTGTCAACTGTGTCTACCATCTAACTTCAGATTGTAGATTGGATGCGGCAAAGAAATCGACAAATAAAAGCGGTAATCGAGCCAAAAAGGTCTACATATCTGGCTTCACGGAGTTTTCCGCAGACCAAGTTGGTGTTGATAAGGAGCGAATTGTGTGGGCATGTGGCTAGAAAAAGGAAACTCAAGCTGAAAAGGGTGTACGAGAGAGAGAGCTCCAAGGAAATGCCCTCATGCAGGTGATGAGGTAGTTTTAATTTTATATATAAAAATTACTGAATTCGATTGAGATTTCAGCCCTTACGGAGCTTTTTAGGAGTTCAATGTAAACAGTACCCTCGGTGCATTACCAGAGAAAACGCTAGATTCTATTCACAAATTTTCCGGCAAAAATGATAAACTTCGGCGATCACTTTTCTGGAAAGGTATGTGCCACAGCAAGTCTTGATTGTTTTCGATAAAATGTTGTCAGCTCTTATTATGGTTTGTTTCAAGGTATGCGTTCTCTGGCTGAACCTGGTGAAAATGTTGGATTGTTGGCTGCGCAGTCGATTGGAGAACCGTCAACACAAATGACTTTGAATACATTCCATTTCGCCGGTAGAGGAGAAATGAACGTAACCTTGGGTATTCCACGTCTGCGCGAAATTCTTATGACTGCATCTGATCACATAGCTACTCCATGTGCAAAGGTCAGTGGATTGTTTCCACAATTTTTATATTAGTAACATACAACTGGAACATACTCTATTTTGTAGTGGATGTTTACGATAGGGCCACATTTATATTTTGCGCGTGTCGTGCAAGTCTCCCAAAAGCTCAGGTCCCCATACCGCCGCGGGTGGTATATCTCACCTTGAGAGGGGTGAAGTCATCGAATAAACTTACCTTTATCCCGTGTCGTTATACTCAACTGAACCAATCCCTGAAGAGAAATGTCAAAAAAAGTTTGACCTTACATGAGAGAAGACTCTTTGAAGGTTCTGCGGCACCATATTAATGAAGCATCCCGCAAAACAGGCGCTTAACTCTTTACAGATTAGTATTCATGA